GATGTTGTACAGTTCCAAGCATTCCAGGATCCATGTGTGAGGCATTGAGTCATAGGCTTTCTTGTAGTCAATCCAGGCAGTGCACAGGTTGGTATGCCTGGTCTTGCAGTCTTGGGTGAGTACTTTATCAACCAGTAGCTGGTGCTTTGCTCCTCTGGTGTTATTGCCAATTCCTTTCTGGGCCCTGCTCATGTATTGAGCCATGTGCCTGCTCATGTTAGCTGCTATGATGACTGACAGGATCTTCCATGTTGTGCAGAGGCAGGTTATTGGGCGGTAGTTGGATAGTACTGCTCCCTTCTGAGGGTCCTTCGGAATCAGGACTGTCCAGCCTTCAGTTAACCACTCAGGGTGGGTTTCATCCATTAGTAGCTGGTTCATTTGTCCCGCCAGGCGCTCATGGAGTGAAGTTAGCTTCTTTAACCAGTAGGCGTGGATCATGTCAGGGCTTGGTGTTGTCCAGCTCTTCATACTTCATACCCTCTCTTGAATGTCTGCCATTGTGATGATTACTGGGTCTTGTGCAGGGAGATTGCTGTGGTCTGCTCTTAGGCCCCCCAGCCACTGGGCATTGTTGTTGTGTGATGCCTCCTTCTCCTATATGCTCTTCCAGAAAAGTCTGTTGTTGTTTGTTTGGTGTTATACCCCATAAATACCATCCATCCACTATATTGACTGGAGTGGGTGTCTAGTTTGTCACTAACAGCCTGCTCAAGTCTATTTCCAAAATGGACCTGTTTCTATAAAAACCTAATGTACACATATTATTCTTGTTGATTCTCTCTTCTGTCTACAGTATGGTTTGTAAGCTGAACACTCGAACCAGCATCCTGGCAGCTACCAACCCTAAAGGCCAGTGCTAACTTCTCTCCTTGCTGCCTTAATCTTGGTCTCCAACCTCCTTCTATATGGAGGATACTGTTCCGGCCTTTGTTGAACTTATAACCAAGCATCTCAAGGATCATGGTTGCTGTGGTGTATATGAGCTTGTTGGTCTCAGTGATGGTCGTAGTAGGGATTGTTCTTAGTGCTGCATTCACATCCTCTAGCAGACTTTCAGAAGACATTTCACTGAGTCTTGATAACTGGCCACGGGAGTGCCAGGTGTCCATCTTGCTCATGATCTTCAATCTCAGGTCAGCTGGGAACTATTGGAATGCTACTATACAGGTAACCCCAGTGAGAGGGGTTACATACGGAGGATGTGGTCAGGGTCAGGTGGGATATATCAGGGGGGAGATATCATCACCATCACCCCCGCAATTGGAGATTGGGTACCAAGCCCTAATAACAGGCCCGGATGTGTTTTGTCTTTTAACTCACTCTCTAAACCCTTAAGCCTGTAATGCCCTGAAACTGGACACAAGGATAATCACTAATGCACATGTTGGTGCAACCAACACCAGCAACAGTTTAAAAGAGAAGTGCACATAAAGGACAAAAATGTCACTGCAGCTGCATAAGTGCCTTGCTGGCTTTGCACCATGAGGTAATTAGAGGTTTTATGTAAATGAAAGCATTTTTCAAAGAAAGTTATGAGAAATCATCTATGCTGCTTTACTTAAAAGAATGAAAACCTATATTGATTGCTGCAAAGTGTTCCCCATCCTTTCTCCTTAAATTCCACAACCAACTACCGAGCTGTTGGATTTTATATCTGTTTACTGCAACAACAAGGAACAGCCAGACTGAGCTGTTTTGGCATTTCAGAAAGTTAAGTTACAGTTTGTTTTTTTCTAGACAGTTTTCTCTCTTTCTGTTTTAGGTATTTTCAGCAGTAGTTACTGTGCTCAGCAGTTGCCAAAAAAGCCTGTTGTTTACTGCCAGGAAGTGAAACCTAGTTAATGTGTCGATTTGATTGTAAAAGAACTGATGTCATATGACAGGTCGGATCAACCTCAGCTAGCCAGAAATACAGATACAGATATACATTCATACCCTGCCTTTTGAATAGGTCCCAGGATTTGGAAATAACATATAGCTTTATCTGTAAGTGTTAAATCTTGCTAAATCCTGCAGTATGAAATATAGGCCACATCCTGTGGTTGCCCTGCCTGTGTGTGTGTGTGTGTGTGTGTGTGCTTGGCTAACCATTGCATTAGCCTGCACCACACAGTTGTCCTTCATCGCAGGTGTGCTTGTAAGTAGTGGATTAAATGTATCATCTGTGTGGTGAGATGGATCCTTATTGGTTTAAAAGAGAGAGAGGGATAAACGCAGAGAGAGAAACAGAGATGTTAACCAGTACATAACAGAAACTATTTTCATCTGAGTCACAACTCTGCTGTGTTTCCACCAAGGTTAAAAACAGCAGTTTAACAGTCAACTGAAAACAAAGGAACAGGCTTTTATTTGGAGACAGTGAGTGTCAGTCATTATTTATCTTTCCACATCATTGCTTTTTTGTTTTTCCATATTATTAAACTGTACAAAACATAAAAGGAAATGGGGCAAGTCGCTGTATATAAACTGTATGTCATTGTGTTTGTCTCCATCCACAAATAAGCGCAACTGGCTAGCATGCCATAATTCAGTTACTGTTTCCCATTAAGCCCTTGGGGTGGTGAGAAACTGATTTGATATGGTCTGAATACACATTCACGTCTGCCAGTTTTCCACATGGTCATTAGAGATGAATGGAAAGGAGTGGGTGAGAGAGAAGGAGAAGTCTGTATCTGAAGACATTAATAATCAAATCTAGTGTCTGGGTAAGACCTGCAATTAAATGATAAAGGCACATAAATAACTGTTCCTTTTAGGATGACAGCTTAGCTGGCTTTGTTGTGGTATTTGCTGGCTTTTATTGGATGACAGGTTTAATGAAAAGGAAAAATTGAGAAAGAATGGTAACAACACAAAACAATGGCCATTTTAGTCCTGATGAACAATCATTCTTACTGTGTTATTTTAATAAATATCACCTAATTGAATGGCTAGATAATGATGTACCCCTTTTCACTGCTAGTGACAGTTCAAAATAGTACATAGCTTTTTAAGTATTGCCTCTGTCGATACTCTGAATCAATCAATACATTCATTAGTCTTTGCTTTACTGGGCTCACAGCTGTTGCAACAAGATGGATGTCTCCCGCTTGGAATGAATTCCTTCTGTAAATATGAAGTTACACACGGAGATGCTGAGAGACCTCAAACATATGAAGCTTTCACTTTACTGCTGGGACTGCACACTGCCATCACCTTCAGCTGTAACTGTCTGATATCCACCCTGATTGTGGAAGTCTCAGTACTCTGTATTGACTCATCAACAGTTGCATTCTTTAAAACAAAAATCAACAAAATTAAGTGCACACTCTATCTGAGAAACTGGAATAGCTTGTACTTATCCTAGCTGCTCATGTGCAACATCATTCCTGGCTATGCTTCATAAAACTGCTCTAACAAGCAGGGATACTGTATGTAGTGCATGTATTTAAGCTAACATTCAGAGGTGTGAAATTGGATTTGGCCCTGACAGAGCAAAGAGATAGTAAGAGTAACAAGTACAAACCCAGGGCTGGACTACACATATTTTATCCTGCATCTGTATAGTATACAATATACAAAGCTAAACATCAGCCTGGGCCAGTGCTTATTTAAAACACTGGATCATTTCCAACATAGGATGAAGGGTAACACTAAAATACAATACAATCCAAAAAAAACAAACAAACAAAAAAA